GGGGGGGGGGGGGAAACGGATACCGTCATGATGAGTGTGCGTTGTCCAGCGCGGGAGAAGGCAGCAGGCCACAAAATATGTAGCCGATGAACCGGGGTGAGGTCCCGCTAGCAAAGTGGGTTGGATACATATCCTGAATCTGGACGTGTTTTAAGCAGAGATGCGGAAAAGCAGTTCAATCTCGACATTCTGCACCTGTCCACGAACAAGTCCAGATTCAGGTGTTCAATCCCATACTCTTTGCTAGTGGGACCTCGTCCCTGGACGGACATTACCTATATTACAGGAAATGCCACCTGCCATCATTTCACATGATTAACGGTGTTATTTTTTTTTTAATTAAAAAAAAAAGCGGTGCTATCTCTCACAGCGGGCGGGGATCAAAAACTGTTCAGCATATTCAAGCCACACCTTTCGAAGACGTGCGCCGTCGTCGTTTCAGACCGCAGCAGAGATCTTCGCGGGAAGAAAACCCATACACACACTCGAGGAACTCTTTAATTGTGTATTTTCTTTTACACTATAATAAGAGCAGGCTGAGCACGTAAACACTCGCTCACCTGCATTAAAAAAAAAAAAAAAAAAAAAAAAAAAAAAAAAAAAAAAAAAAAAAAAAAAAAAAAAAAAAAAAAAAAAACTCAAACACACCCAACGTCTACGACAGGGAACGATGAAAACCAAAAACAACAACCCAGCCCATGTGGCTGAATTGTACACGCATGTAACTGTTTTGATTATCAGATTTGAATTCGAATCCCTACTCCAATCACAGATGAAGAAAGCAAAAGAAAAGAGAAAAGAGAAAAAATACAACATTTAAAAAAAAAAAAAAAAAAAAAAAAAAAAAAAAAAAAAAATTAAAAAAAAAAAAAAAAAAAAAAAAAAAACACCCCCAACGTCTACGACAGGGAATGTAACTGTTTTGATTATCAGGTTTGAATTCGAATCCCTCCTCCACTCACAGATGAAGAAAGCAAAAGAAAAGAGAAAAGAGAAAAGACAACATAGACAACGACATGGCACCTCATCAAGACTCCAACGGTAACGTGACGCAGCAATTTTCGGCAAATCGAAAACGACAAACTTTAATTGAAAAGGAAAAAAAAAAAAAAAACGACAAACACACCTTCCAGCGAGGTCTTGAATCTCCATCGTGCTATTGCGCCGCAGGTTTCGCCGCAGACGAATGCGCGCTTGCCTCGAAGATGTCACAAGCAGCGCATCGCTTCTGCTCTCCCCATCAGCGGAGACAGCGCCGATATCCGCGCGCCGTTCCCCCATTCCCCTTCCTGTTTCCGCGCTGGCGGGCCCAAGCAAGGACGTCGCCGTGCCAAAGTCGATATCCGTGCCCGTCCCCGTAATGGACGATGAAGGAGGACTGATGCTGTCGCTCGTCGCTGTCGAGGAAGATACAGCAGCAGCAGCAGCAGCAGAGATGGAAGAGGTAGAAGAAGTCGCCGCGGAGGATGCCGAAGAAGCCGCGGAAGAAGCCGCGAAAGAAACCGCGGACGATGCGGAAGAGGAAGAGGAAGAGAGAACAGAAGCTGACGCAGCGGCGGCGGATGAAGCAGAGGGGGATACTCCGGAGGGGGGAGGGCGGATATCGACGGCAACCGATGCCCCGGGTTGAACCCCCAAGAGGGCGCGGGGGCCAACAACGCCAGCTGCAGCATTGCCACCAAAATTTCGAACAGCTGTATGAACGGTTGATACGACCGCTCCGCCAGCTGGCTGAGCGATTCGCCCGCCGCCCACAGACGCTTGATTGTCATCAACTGTAGTGGAATCCAACCTGCTGCAGCAGTACAAAATACGCAATTAGCAGCAGCAGAGAGCCAAACGAGCCACCGAGTGCCCGCTTGTATATAGCCAGTATGTTGACGATATTCATGACTACATACATGACAAAATCCGTCTGTGCACAC